CTGCATGAGTTCGAGAAAATACCAAACGCTGCCTTCGATGATCTACATCTAATAGAGGACCCGTAGCATGTACATGAGGTGATAGATTTCCTTCTTTCAACCTTCGGCGTACGGTATCAGGTGAAACTATCGTACCATGAACATCATCCGATCTTTGAGTCGGAGCTGGAGCAGGAACTGTCCTTTCTCGAAGAGCTGGAAGTCTCAGAAACCGATCTTCAACTGCGTTTGTTACTTCCCGTCTTTCCTGCCCAGGTCTTCTTGAGTAGGAACCAGTTTCTCTAAATCTCTGTATCGCATCAAATACCGTACTGAATGGTACGGCAAGCCTTTCTTCGATAGGTATACCAAATAGGACAACCATCATCTTGTAGAGCTACAGCTTGCGCTACTTGTTCCGGTGTTATTTCTGTGGAGTATTGCTTGACAAGAATCTTTTTGACATGCTATAAAAATGCAGGCACAGCCTACTAGAAACAATTTTTCACTCGGCAAAGCCTGCTTCAAAAAATTCCTTGTTTATGGTTTAAAATTCTCATACGAAGACACATTATTCAGTTAAAAAATATTTCCCCAAGGTGTTCAGAAATTTAGGGCAAAATGCACCTTTTAGTTACACCCTGTATAACAACAAACGTTTTCCTTTTTTTTGTTAAATCCATAGTCGATAATGATAACAGTGAAATTACCTACAACTTGACCGAAAAATTAACGAAATCGATATAAAGGTTAAAAAGCTATTTAAAATTTAATTTGAACAAAATTTTTTTTGTCCGGTTAATTTTGCGTGGCAATGTAATTTATGGTACAGAAAATAGTCGTACAATGCCATAACACCAGGATAAAACACAGTACTAACCATTTGGCCCCGGGAATGAAATCTTTCTGAATAATTCCCTTCGAATCGTAGAAACAAATCAACATTGTTTTCACTTTGTATCTTGTATATACACTTTCATAACGTACGAGGACTTGCCGGCCGATGACTATCGGTACATGTTGTCAGGATATCTCCAGCATTATTGTCCAACATGGAGTAACCAAACCCGGAGGCGGAAATTATCTGGCGAGAGACTTTTGACAGTGTCTGCGTATGTTCCAGAGTGGGCGGCTTTAAACACGTGGACCGGAGCAGACGAATAACGACGAACTGCCTATGGAAGGGACAACGCGGATCGCTTCAGCGTTGTAACCCACTAGAATTACTCTTATGGAGCTGTTGTGAGATTATTATTATTATTATTAAACAACAAATTTGAGTTGAGTACAAGTTCTATAAACTCAAACACATAATATATAATAGTGTACAGACAAAAGAAATATAACAATTTGACAATCTTAGCATTTCTGAAGTAGACATATACAGAATGGGGACAATACGTTGCCGGTAGAGCCAATGAAATCAAAGACGCACCTCGACCGGCAGACTCATAGGCGTCGGCAACGCATTGGAACGTGTTTCGTTGAGCGATCGCATATTGTGTGTTTTTATAAGAATTGTTGTGTGATTGTTGTACTACTGATCCAAAGTTTGATTTGAAGTGACGAAAGGCCGTTAAATTGGATGACGATAGCAAAATGGCGTTAAGGCGAACCGTACATTCATTCTTCTTTAGGAATGAGATACCAACCCTCAAGGCTGTACATGCAGCGATCAAGGAAAATGAAACTATACCCCAAATGAGCGTCGAGGTAATGAGGAAATCCTTGCACGAAATTAATTTTCGTTACGAAACGCGTAATTGGAAGTCAGTATTGATAGAGAGACCTGAAATAGTCGCCTGGCGTCGAAAATACCTACGCGAAATGATTGAATATAGGCGACAAAGCAGAAAAATCTAGTATTTGGGCGAGACATGGGTAAATGCAGGTCACACAGTTAAAAAAACCTGGATAGACAAAAACGTAGTGAGTAACCGACAAGCAAGCATTGAAGGTTTGTCAACAGGTCTTCGTGGACCGTCAGGGAAAGGTCAAAGATTGATCGTAACTCATATTGGTAGCGATAGTGGCTTTTTAGAAGAGTGTGACTTGATTTTCGTTTCTAAGAAAGGAGATGATTACCATGACGAAATGAATGCCAGCTGCTTCGAGAGCTGGTTTCAAGGGGTGCTTCAGCGAGTTGAGTCCAACTCTGTGATCGTCATGGATAATGCTTCCTACCATAGTCGTCGAGCCGAACGTGTACCGACTATGGGATCTCGAAAAAGTGACATGCAGCAATGGTTGCGCGAAAAAGGAATCCCGTTTAACGATTCATTTGTGAAAGCGGAATTGTATGAAAAAATTAAACAGCACAAACCTGCGAACATTAGTTACGTGACTGACGAGATGGCCCGTCAATGTGGTGTCACTGTGCTGCGGTTACCGCCCTACCACTGTGAACTGAACCCAATAGAGCTCATCTGGGCTCAAGTGAAGGGTTATATTGCGCGCCATAGCACAACCTTCAAATTACCAGACGTTAAGGTTTTACTTGAGACTTCCATACAGCTAGTAACGCCCGAAGCTTGGCAGAATGCTATCCGTCATGTTGTGAAGGAAGAAACCAAAATGTGGCAGCTTGACCAACACATCGACACCATCATAGAGCCAGTTATAGTCAATTTCAACGAGGAAAGCGATAGCGACAGTTTATTACTGTCAGATGTAAGTCGAAGCGACGATGAATAAAGGTAATTCCCCAATTTTTGACTTACAATATGTTTCAAACCACTCTTTATTAAGCATGTGACAAATCTAGTTCACCCATGTTAAACATTCATACCCCGCCTATGAACAGCAGACTACTGGTAGTTAAGTGATGTTCACGTGAACATCGATGAGTCATTACAGTTTTAGATAGTTATAGTATAGATGCGTTGGCCATAAATGACTGAAACTAACGCTCAGCCTAAGTCGGTGCACCCTTTTTAACGTCCTTACTAATATTTCAGTTTGACACGGACGCGAAAGTCACTGGAGACCATTAGCTGCCAAGCGCAATATCGCGACTGTATGGACAATCCCGACTGTCAGAAACAAAATCGCCAGCAATGTCGCATCACGTTCAACAAACAACGACTGGGACGTGGGATGAAGCAGCAGATACTAAAATTAATGACGTCGTAAATTAACTCCTAATTATGTCGGGCGCCAGCTATTACGTCCACGTGTACGTGAATGTGTGCGATAACGAGAAGTATGAGAATTCGCGCCGATTGATGGAGCTTTTGCTGCGATAGTGACAGTCACAAGGTTGTTAGTTGAGTTTGTTGATTGACTCGCCTAACATTTAACACAAAACTAGAACTTTTAGCAGATTTGCGTCTTGTTTCTGACATAATTATGGTATAAAGTCTTATCGATCACCATGCAATCACTTATGCAACAGATTGGGCGACAGAGGTCAGATGAGTGAGGATTTCTTCAAGGCCTTTGATAAGATCGAGCACAGTATTATCGTTCAAAACTTTGAGTAGCTGAGATTCAACAACACCTGCGTAGAGCTTTTAACATCTTAACTGCTTGAAAGGAAACAATATGTTTTTTTATAATGCTAACAGATCACATGCTTATGTCTCAACCGGTGGTGTTTCACATGGTTCAAAGTTGGAACCAGTGTTGTTCCCGTTATTTCTTAATTATAAATTTGAATCTTTGGCTTGAATATTGATTTGAGGTCAGATAACTTTATTTCAAAGCTAGTGCGTCAGGAATCATCTTCGTCTTAATATAGCTAACAGGATAAAAATTCAAATTGCAAGTTTCGTATTTAAAAGCTAGTTAGTATTGTTTGATTTTTCTGATGTAATTTTAATATGACTGCTTAGCCTATGAGTCTCATTGGTATGCTAAAATTAAGATCTAGATAAGGTTGCGCACTCTGTCCACTTTTATCTCAAGCTAGTAGTAGTTGTGTTATTGGTATCAGAATAGAAAGGAAATTCTGATAAAAATCGTTGTGAAAGTGTTTGAGAAAATGTTGTTGCTAACCATTAGGTGGTTCTGAATTTGGATACTTCGAAGGTTCCAAAGTTTCCATGCAACGCTTTGTTTATGCTTTCTACATGAAATAGTCGTATCGAATATATCCTTAAAGATGAATTTCGCCCAAGAAGATACCACAATTACTTATGGAGTCATGGTATAACTCTGAGTTCCCCAAACTTTTTTGTGTCGTAGACCCCTTGCCATGTTTTTCCGTGCTGGGTAGATCCCATACTTACCTGATATTGATTTCCTGTAAATTTCTAACTGTAGTGAAGTTTAGTGTTAAAAATTTAAAGTAAAAACACATGTTAATTTATACATTTATTAATTGAATTTAAATTAAAACTACTCAAAATAAAATTTTGTATCTGTTATGTAAAATATACGTAACATTAAATAAACAGATGTCTGACCAATAAGTGCCCGCATTGGGAATAAGTGCCCGGATTGAAAAAAAATTAGAGGGATGAAATAAAAAAAAAGTGAAAAATAATAAAAAAAGTGTTTTACTTAAAATAGTACAATATAAGCGAGTTCGTTTATTAATTATAACATAAACGTATGTTCTACAATAATTTCACTGTTAGTTTGATTAAATTCCGCTTCTTATACGTTTAAGTTATCTAAAAATAGGCAAAAAATTAACGAATTTTAGTGTGTACCTATCTTTGAATTTTCAGAATAATTAAAAAAAAATATATTTTCTATTAAGGGGGGTTCTTTAAAAAATCAATGCGGGCACTTATTCCCAATGCGGGTATTTATTGGTCAGACACCAATATAGATAAAATAAACTATAAATAAAATAACATAAGCAATAAGTCAATGTTTTTAGTGAGAAGGTTGAACCTGATGCTTTAGTAATAAATTATCAACACTTGGCGTCAATTTTGTAAATCTCCTCGGCTAATGATGTCCAGTCTGTTTCTTTTTTTCGTTAGGAGATTGGTAACAGCGCTGAACCCCCTTTCCACTAGGTATGACGATGGAAAGGAAATTAAAAATTTCCTCGCTATATTCCATAATACGGGATAAGTAACGGGTATGTTGTTTTGCAGCCAGAATTGCTGATATCCGTTTTTAAACTGAACCTTAAGTTCTTCGTTTGTACTTAGTTCAGTCAGTTCTTCTTGTATTATGACATTCGTTTCTTCTATGTCACCATATGGATTAATTATCCACGGTGGTATTACCATACTCAAAATATCCTCAAACCTAGATTCGAAATCTGAATAGAGGGCATTTAAATGTTGAACGTAAGTTGAAACGTCGTCTTCCTGGCAGCTTGTCTGTGACAAATTCGGGAACTGAGAAAATTCGCCCCGTCCAATATTTTGCTTCATTAGTTTAACTCTGGCAAGAAACGCTGATAAGATGGACTTTTTTAATCAAATTTAAACTGTCGCCTTGTAATTGAAAATTAACCATATTAAATTTTGTAAACAAATCTGTTAAATAGGCGATGTCTGTTTTCCTCTTCATTAAATTTTCTTTTGAAATTTTATCTTTAGTATCCAGAAATTCTAAAATAGTCTCAAAAAGTGCAAAAAATCTTGTCAAACATAAGCCTTTCGACAGCCAGCGTACTTCAGTGTGAAGGAGTAATTGATGAAAGTGTTCGTCATTTTCTTCACACAATTGCGCAAGTAACCACGTATTCAACACGTTGCTTCGGATTCGGTTTACTGCATCAATGACTAAATGAAGTGATTCATGCAATCTAACTCACAAATTTTTAGCAACTAAATGTTGTCATTGGATGACGCAATGTATTGCTAACACCCCTGACACATTTTGTTTTTAAATAGCTTATAAATCCACGATAACGTCCAACCATAGCAGGCGCTCCATCTGTAGCTACTGATATTATATTTGATAAAGGAATTGCTTTTTCAATGAAGTAATCCTTCAAAACATGAAATATCGATTTACCTTTAGTGTCGGTTATCAAAGTTCTTGCGAAGAGCAGTTCTTCGTAGATTTCTTGATTCATAATAAATAATAATGCTGCATTATCGGGTAAAGTTCAATATCAGAACTCACTTCATCAATACGTCTTTCAACAGTATTGTTGCTTAAGCGAATTCTTTTAATGATATCAGATGCAGGTTTATGTAAAACAGTTTTTAAAACCTCTTCAACGGCTGGCAAAATTAACTTCTCTCCGATAGTATGCGGTTTTCCGGATTTTGCTATAAGTAACGAAATATTGTAAGACGCCCGCAAACCATCATCATTTCTTTGTGACGTCGAAGCGAACATTCTGTCCAGTGTAGGCCTCTTCTGAAATTTATCTTTGAGTGTTTGAAAGTATTTCAAATCTTTCTCTGTTTTATCAGGGTGGCATCTTCTCAGATGAACACTGTACTGTCTACATTTCTTTTTAGATTCGGACATGGCATCAGTCATCTGTGGGCAAAATTAAATTATTTAAATAAGACAGAAAATCCAGCAGCTGTATATTAAAAATATTTTTAGATTTTTCCGAAAACATTCCATAATTCGAACATCTTCTTGCAACAATTAGCTCGAATTACGGAGATTGCACTGTAATTATATTACCGATTGCTGAAACTTTCAAAAAGAAGCTATTGAGGAGTACTCGTGTAATTTTGCATGATTGAATATTTAACTACTAATAACTAAAGTCATGATTGGCGTAATTTATCTATCTTTGCTAACTACGAGTACAAAACTAAAATTTAATAAAAAATAATGTACTTACTTTTCTCCAGCACTCTCAAACAAAATAACACTGACTCACTATAATTTGTGTGATATACTATCTGTTGATATTTTTTAAAATATTTTCTTAGCACTTTCCTTTTCAAGATTCAGGAAACGAATAAATGTATTTGTCCCACATTCGTATTTATAGAGTGACGAATTGAACAAGTCAGTGCAAGGTAGCGAAGCTCTGAGACTGCGACTCTCAGGTTTTGACAAGTTCAAAATGTATTGCGACCACAAAGCGAATACCAACATCCTACAACTTACACAATTTTATAAACATATATAATAAATTTTTTGCTTCATAGGTACTTTTATAAATAATGTATGTTTTGATATTATAAGATAGTATGATGTAAGTAAATAGGTACTATCAGAGTATGTGTTGAGATTCACTAGGGTGGACCCCCATATTCATTTCATGGAACCCCACATTTTTTTCGCTGACCTAGACCCCTTGCAGGTTGTCATAGACCCCTAGGGGTCGATATAGACCACTTTGGGAATCAATGGTATAACTGATGTAAGGAATGCGGCTAAAATATTTGTTTTTGGGTCTGTGGTGAATGTTACCTAAGGTAGTGGTTCATGATAAAGTAAATAAGTAGTAGCTTTACTATTTTCTTCCGGATTTGATACATTGAGTAAGTTGTAAGTTTAATTTAGTTCCATCTGGATAGCTTCGGATCAAGAGGAAGAATATGTTATTGTAGCTAGACCAGATAATTTATAAAGACCATCTTGATTTAATATGGGGATTTGAGACTCTTCTTACTCAAATCGGATATATTTTTTCAATAGTTGTAGAGACTTCATTGGTCTATTATGATCCTGGGCAAGATCTTAAATCCTTCGAGTCAACATCAAAATCGGGCCTAAAAGCCACTGGACGAACGCTATCCCACCTATCTGAATATCCGTGTCCATTAATATTTTACAACTGCAGAATAATACCAATAACATCATATTCCTCGTCAGCTCTGCGAAATTTAATAGGCCAATAAACCTGCCCATTCTTCCAATAAACCATTCGCATTCTTATTAAATATACATCGAGGCGCTAACACAGTAAACGGGCCTCACATAAATCAATTTTTATCCATTTTACTTTCCTGATATGGCCCACGACTAGTATTCGCGTCTTTATCGATACGTACAGTTTCCGAACACTGTCTACAGCTAGAATTGAGCTAGGCTGGACAGAGTTACTTCGGTACATAGTTCTACCGCATATTTATCACGGCATATTTCAGAAGGAGGTGTTTGGCATGATAAATATGTGCTGAAATAATACTGACTAGTTCAATTCTAGACCAAGCTGTCGTTATGACGCACTAAATCCATCAGGTCAGCTCTTCCGTGAACGGAAATGGTACGGCTAGTTCTGGCCCTCCTCCCCTAACACCCAAAACCTGAAATCAAATAAAATTCGTTCTAATTGTATTTCATATCTTCATACTTTTCTAGAGAACAGATAAATCGACATACATAAAAATATTTACTTTCATAACATTTTCAAATACGAAATCAAATAATGCGAAGTAGTTAATTTGCATTTTCCGCTAACATAGACTATGATTTGCGAGTACGCGTGCCGTACGTTTGGAACATAATAACAAACTATAAAGCCATATGGGTAGAACTGATGATTCGTCAATTGTTTTGAAGAATAATTGATTACGGATGCTTCCTTATAGAATAACCAACTTGGACGCAACCTGACAAATTGATCTACCTTCCATATGTAATTTTAACATGCGCTATGCTGCAGATCTCACTGAATCTAATAAACTTAGCACCTCGGAAGTATATCACATTCAGTGAAATTTGGAGAAACATCCAACTTACGCGATACGACATGGCAAAATTGGAAACGACGCGCGAGTGCGGATCGCTCGATAACAGTAATTATCCTACAAAGTTACAGAAATTGTCCCGGTCGGATATGTAATATCCGAGTGCTAGGAAAATTTGCATGTGACAATCCGTATTTGTATGTAAATTTGAAATGGAAGGATTTTGCTATGATCGCAGATAAGGTGTACTGGCATAACAGATGTTGTCGGGGTTCCGTGCATCAAATTATGTCTGACTAGATGAAATGTGTAGGTAGTTGTTATATGTAACCTAGGGTATATATAATTATACATATACAGTATTCATAGTTAATTACCTTAACTGTTAGGAGAAAATATCTTTTAATTTCTTTGGGTGGAAGGCAAATTATTGCAAAAGTGCACTCTTATAACTTAAACTCTCAATCTTTCGAGGATCTATGTCTTCATCGTCTGGAGCTAAAAATAATTGAAAAAAGGCACGGAAAAATTGATATACCTGATATCTGGGATGTGATGTATAACTTAAGTGGCCGGGCTTTAATCAAGAAAAACAGCATAATGTTGCAAAGATAGTATAGTAGGTAGTTTGATGTATCACGTCAAACTTATTCAGAGATCTTAGTGTTTGTTCATTGATTGGTCATAAAACTGGTATACCTCCTGGAAGAGGTATTCCTGCTTCCAAAAGGCATCTAACCCCCAAAGCAACCAGCGACCAAGAGAATATCTAGATACTCAACCAAATTAGCTCACAGTCTACAGGGAAACCAGAAAGACAATTGCTGCTTACTTATATACATGTTGATTCCTTGCTTTTGTTAATATCAAAATCAACACTGAACGAACATGTACGGGTTGCTGGACATAGGGTAAAATGGGAGGTAGTTCAACATGTACAAACTCATGCGGTTAGATTGAGCGGTTAGACAATGGAATCCTATAACTATCTAAAACTGTAATGACTCATCGATGTTCACGTGAACATCACTTAACTACCAGTAGTCGGCTGTTCATGGGCGGGGTATGAATGTTTAACATGGGTGAACTAGATTTGTCACATGCTTAATAAAGAGTGGTTTGAAACATATTGTAAGTCAAAAATTTGGGAATTACCTTTATTCATCGTCGCTTCCACTTACATCTGACAGTAATAAACTGTCGCTATCGCTTTCCTCGTTGAAATTGACTATAACTGGCTCTATGATGGTGTCGATGTGGTGGTCAAGCTGCTACATTTTTGTTTCTTCCTTCACAACATGACGGATAGCATTCTGCCAAGCTTCGGGCGTTACTAGCTGTATGGAAGTCTCAAGTAAAACCTTCAATGCTTGCTTGTCGGTTACTCACTACGTTTTTGTCTATCCAGGTTTTTTTAACTGTGTGACCTGCATTTACTCATGTCTCGTCCAAATAATAGATTTTTCTGCTTTGTCGCCTATATTCAATCATTTCGCGTAGGTATTTTTGACGCCAGGCGACTATTTCAGGTCTCTCTATCAATACTGACTTCCGATTACGCGTTTTGTAACGAAAATTAATTTCGTGCAGGGATTTCCTCATTACCTCGACGCTCATTTGGGGTATAATTTCATTTTCCTTGATCGCTGTACAGCCTTGAGGGTTGGTCTCTCATTCCTAAAGAAGAATGAATGTACGGTTCGCCTTAACGCCATTTTGCTATCGTCATCCAATTTAACGGCCTTTCGTCCCTTCAAATTAAACTTTGGATCAGTAGTAGCTCCAGTTTTCTTCTTTTCATGCACCACCCTGCGAATGGTTCACTCTGGAACGCCTGTCATACTTTCACAACACGCGAGTGCATCTCCCTGCGACATAGTTCTGTTCAGATAATTGAACACGTTGAGCACGATTTCTTTCGCGTCCCTCTTCAGTGCTTTACGAAGCCGTCTATTTGTTCCCTGGCTTTCAGTACTTCCACTCGTGCCATTTGTACTCTCCATGGTTAAGTAAAGGGTGTCCCAAAATTAACGCAAGATTTGAATTTGCCGCCATTTGTGCAGTGAAGTGTTGGCAACCCTGAAAAAAAGCAATTTGACAGCTAACAGTATAGGGTTATGAAAAATGGAGCGTTACACGATAGAACAACGTGTCTTCATTATTAAAGAATATTCATGGAGACTGGATCCGTTGGAGACGCCAAACACACTGGTCGTCCAAAAACAAGCCGTTCAAATGTGAATATCGAAGCAGTGCGTGAGAGTGTTGCGGACAATCCAGGAACCTCAATTCGACGTCGTGGACAAGAATTGCAAATGTCAAGAACCTCTCTACAGCGTATACTCACCAAAGATCTGTGTCTTCATGCTTACAAACTTCAATTAACACAACAATTGAAGCTTAATGACCATGCAGAGAGAAGAGAGTTTGTTGAATGGATTATTGAACATCAACAAATGGACCCCGA